TTTGTGTTGCATCAACTTTAAGTTGCTTATTTTCCCCTCGTAAATCTTCTATTTCTCGATATTTTGCTTTATTAATTTTATGCTGTAGTTCAGACTCTATATATATATATATATATATAAATACAACAATGCATTAATATTTTAACCTTTTGATATACCATAAATGTTCAAATAAAAGCCCCGGCGTTTATTTCTTTGCAGGACAAAAAATGTTTAAAATAAAATTAAAAATGCCAAAACTAAGATTCAAATTCGCAACCCTATAGCATCAGTAGACTGAGATTAACAATTTAGGCCATGTGGGACACTCTTAACTATGTATAATTATGTGGAGCTATACTTGTAAGATCTTAGTACCAGGCGTTTATTCGAGCCAGGCTTTTATTTGAACATTTACGGTAGTTTGTGGTTTTTTTATGAATTTCAAAATGCTGCTCCTTTAGTAGGTCTAATTCCTCATGTAGATCTACCTTCATTTGTCTTCATCAGTTCTTTTTGCATTGAATCAAACTCTGAATCTTTTTTGTCTGTGATAAAATAGTTCCTGTACAAATTAGGCAATAATAAAACATACTAGTGATCTTGTGACTCTCTTCAAGACTTAATTTTAATTTTTTTATTTGTTGTAGCTGACTCTCTGATGATTCTTTAACTGATGCTAACTCTGTTACAGTCAAATCATAAACTAAATTATGCATTTACATGTACATACGCATATTACTAGCGAGGGCATAATCCTTTGAATTCAGTTGCTGCTGAACAAACTCATATTCTTTTGTGACAGCTAAAAATAGAAAAAAATAATAAAATGGTTTTACTGTGCAGCAACTTACCAGTCATCTTTTCTTCTTTATCTTTGAGGGTATATTGTAAATCCATAACTTCAGTGTCTGAATCTGCAATTATTATTATTTTTGTGTCTCACATAATAGTAATTTCTTACTCATCTCTTTTTTTGTAATAATACCTTTAAATTTTTCAATCTCTTGATCTTTTGGTTTATGACCTGTAAAGTGTACAAATATTGCTCACTTGATTTTGTATATAGTACCATACAGTGATACCTGATGTTAATGACGTCTGTGTTTGTTTAAATAGATCTACGACTGATTGATCACTATCAACTAGGTCTACTTTATCAATCTGTAAGTGGTACTTAAATCTATTAAATGGCTCCAACTCCAACAACACATCATTGATATCCTGCAGTGTAGTTTCATCAGGATCCCAGTTAAAAACAAATAC